AACCTTAACTGTAAGAAATATGTTCTTACTTATTAACACATGGGAGACATTTGGGAACATTAACTCTTAAGTTAAGAGTCAACATTATCCAGAGGACTCTTGAGTTGCTCAAAAACAAACATCATGTGTCATTATGAAACATAAAGCCGGTTGTGATCTTTGGGTGTAATTCAACCTGGGAGCTGGAGCTTTACCAGAAGCTGTCTAGAAGTGAGAGTTTACCTCAGGCCATATTCCAGGAACTGTGAAGATCAATATCTGACATACAACTGGAAGGAACCGCTCATTTGAGAACAAGGTGATCCACATCTGTTATTTTAACAGGTATAACTAGATTTCATCCATATTCCATGGAAATATTGCTTTATTTTAATGTTACTATAGTTTTCTTAAAAGAGTTCTGTATCCTCGTTTAATTGTATTGTCCTTTTCTTACAATGTATCTTCTTTGACTGTTGAAGTAAGCACCAAATACACCATGGCAAATCCCTTGTATGTGTTAACCTTCTTAGCAACAAACGTGTTTCAATATCAGTCAAACTAATTGTAACAAAGAGATTTCTTTCCAAATCGTTCACCCGAATTACAGACAAATCCACTTTAGAAGTGTACGTAGCAGTGATGGACTGATGGACAGCAGTGCATAAAGAAGCTGACATCCCTAACAGCAAGATGAAGCATGTGGAGATTTGATGAATCCCTTTTAACAAATTGTCCTCTGAGCTTTGTGATGAACTGCTTGGCAAAGCACCCAAACCAAAAGCTGCAGTTAGTCTGCTCATACAGCTGACTGTGTGAAGCATGAACAACAGTATTTCTCCTTTTGAGTGAGATTACATTCTCCGTTGTTTAGCCTGCATGACAAATTCACACTACAAACAATCTGAGAGCAGTGAAGGTCAGCTACGTTAACTCCCTGCTTCAAATGAGTGTTTACAAAGTTTGACATTGGTATGAAAGAAACTCCCTAAAGTACAGAATTCCTGACGCTGTGGTGTTCTGTACCGACATTCTTTCCTGCTGTGTGGTCTTCTTGCATTTGGTCTACCGTTAGCCAGGTAAAGAACTTATGGTGTCTTTAAACCCTGTGGTTCTAGGGGAAGTGGGAAAATGTAGAGCAACATGACACTGATGGAACACTTCCATAGCAGCCTAACAAATCCACACAGCTCCATGTTGGTTGGATGGCCAGTTGGTGAGCCACATCCCTCCTCCTCCATCCCCCACCAACCCAATCTAAAACGGGGGTGCAGCAACAGCTGATCTTTCAGGAGCGTCTATTTTTAAAACTCTTTGGCAGAACAGGCCAACTCATCAGGGCTGACATACCATCCTGTCAGAGGACTGCCAGAAAGGGGCTGACACTTAAAGGCCCATACTTTCTCTTAACTGTATAGATGTGACAGAACATTGGCCAAAATCACGATTTTAGTGTAAGTCACTACCGTAAGAACAGATGAAGATTCCTTCATGAAAGAGAATCTCCTGTTGGATATTCAGTTTCTGCTGCTGAGGTCTGTTAAACTCCTCGTCTTCTCAAATCCCAGCTGAGTAACACTCTTGCCCTAAATAATACCCCTCAAAAAGAGAAGATCGCCAGCTACAGGAATGTGCAACCTCACACACACTCCTGCACTGTAAATAGTCAGCTAAGCAGTTAAGAGAAGATAACATTCAAACAGCCAAACCTCAACAGGCTTTGGCACCGTACTCCAGCCATTGGGTGTCAGTTAAGAGTGACATGCAAATGTTATGAAACATCCGGGTTAGGTTAGCACGGACCCAACTTCCTCCCAACTGAAGAGAGCGTGTCAAAGCTGCCCTGCATCAGGCTGAGAGCTAAGATGGAGAAGTCTTTATGCTCACCATCTCATGGTGAGAAAAACTCACAAAAGGCACACCCTATGTTTCTTGCAATGTATTTCACAAACCTTAATAAATACCATCTCAACTACATCTGCACTGCGATTAGCGTCCTCCCATCAAGTTTCAAAGTAAAAGGTTAACATAGATGTATGATAGGTTTGCATCATTTTGAAAAAGTATAACTAATTCTGATTATTTTGACTAATATTGCAATTGTGATATGGTTTGTGATCTCAGAGGGAATATTCGTTTTTGAAACATTTACATTGTCATTGAAAATAATATATTAGACTAAGAGGGTCCTTACCAAACAAGGACATTTTATGAAGTCTGTAGATTAGCGTTTTTAGCCGGGACTTCTCTGCAGCACTAAAATACTTTATTCAGATATTTTCACGTTTGGCTTTTTAACCAAATAATCCCCTTACTGTGATTTGGATATTTCACTTGTCCATATAGCGATTTATCACAGAGTAATGGTGAAGCCCTTCTGCAAAATGTTGCTATGTAACAGTAACGGTCAGGCTCTGCTGTGTCGTCTGTACACGGTTAGTATTTAGGTTTGATTTTAGAGCCAAATATTGATTTGCTGTCTGAGTTTCACAGCTCAAGGGCACAGGTGTAGACACAGGCTCTCCGGTAATCACACTTCAAATAGGCCGACTTAAGTCCTAAAGACACACAAAACATTATTCCTTACACAAAACATTCATTTATCCTGCACTAGACTCATCGTAATAAACAGATTAGACGCCATCAAACCTGTCACAACATGACTTCAGCAGCTGTCGGACACAACTGTTACTGCTGCCAACTTCAGTCTTGCATTATTGAGGGATAGCACAACACGTCCTGCAGGTTAGCACATGAGACTTTCCCCTAAAGAACATTAAACCATTGATTTTAGCTGCGAGTCAAGACAAAAGAGAAGAACAGATGTAGTCTAGGGTACAGCTAGATTGCTTCCAATAAATACCACAACCATTAGTTTATGTCCAATAGCATACATTATTGTGCGGACACCTTTACATATTGTTGGTTCACTAACTACATCAGTTAACCATTATATACAAGTCAATATTGTACAGTTGAATCATCAAACATCATTGGAGCTATCAAACCTGCAGTTAAATCCTAATGTCATGTTTAACCTATGTCATCGTCTCATGGACATACACAGGTAAACCTTTCCTAATCAGACTGTGAACAAAATGTTTGCTACACAAACTGTCACGACTTGAATTGGATATACCAACCAAAGAACAGTTCATAGAAACACACAGCCAGCAAGTATGTTACCAAGCAGGGAATCCCTAATGTCACCTACTGTAATAAAGCTCGTTTCAAGTCCCTACAGGTTCATCTGCATACTGTAGTGAAAAGTAAAGTCCATTCAAGCATCAACACACTGTTGCCTTTAAAGTGACTATCTGTGGATAGGCAGCGACAGGCCCGGACTGGCCATCGGGAGGACCGGGAGGTGTCCCGATGGCCTGGCCTGCTAAGTGGCCTGCTGGCCTGAGGATTTTTTTTTTTTATGTATGGATTGTGAACGCATCGCTGCGCAAATGTGGGTCTGCCTCACACAGGGTGACTGGATGTCTACATGATGTGGCCTGCCGACATGGCCACTGTCATACAGATCATACTAATGCCCTCGATTGGTCTCCGTGTGTCATTCAAGCTCGGGAGGGTGTGTGTGTGTGTATGTGTGGCGCAAGCGAGCGAGAGAGAAAGCGCGCGCACCGGTTACGTGTATTGTTGTAATTAGCATCTGGTGCTAGCTAGCAGCGCTAATGGATAAAAGGAGCTGTTTCAACAACAAGGTGGAGGAGAGTCCTCTGCTGTCAGACTGAGAGACTAATAACCTCAGCCCAGGTGAGGTAAAGGACTCTGTTTAGATAGTTAACTTAGTCCAAGTTCTCTGTGGGTCTCAAACGGTTTGGTCACCATTTATGTAAACACATATTTCCATTTGAGGGGGGAGTGATTAGTAGTAGTCTCTTTATTTCCCCCTCAAAGTGCACCAGATTGATGCATTTAAGTCCAACATTTAAAAAAAAAAAATCTTACCGGGGGGGCATGCCCCCGGACCCCCCTATAGGATTTGAGGTCCACCTGCACTTAAAATATGTTCACATAGGTTCCTAAATAGATTTGCACATTATTTTAAATAGTAACCCATGTCCATATGTTTATTCTGGGGTAGTAGATTTAAAGTTTAGGGCGATCACTACGGGCAGCAACGCTGTAAATATTGACAAATAAATCCAGAAAAATGACACAAAAGAAAACTGGTAGTGGCCTGGCTGGGTGTATAATTCCCGGCCTGACTTATTGTCCCAGTCCGGCCCTGGGCAGTGATGACATATAGAGAGCTTAAATGGGTACAGTGGAAGGCTGTCTTTGTCAGTGGATAGTTTCAGAAATTCAGGATAAATTGTGATTTTGGACATGAAGTGTCTGGGGTCATATCATTCGGTTGGATATCACCAAATGTCAGCTGCTTCAACAGCAGACACACAAGACTTATACTGAAACACATGTGTTAGTATGCAGGGAAGGTTAAGTAAATGTACTTAATACTGTACTTAAGTACAATTTTGAGAGACTTGTAATTTACTTGAGTATTTAAATGTTTAGCTTCTATTCAAAGGTAAATAGTGTAATACCTTTAGTTACTTTACTACTATAGATTTGGATGAATTATGTTAAATCTAACCAAGTGTTGAATCAGACTTTAGTTCCACCTGGAGTAAATCCACCAGCTACCCTGCAGTATACAAAGCCATTCAGACTAGCTGCACCTTTACCAGCTTTGAGAACACTTTCATGATCAATCATTATAAAACATATCATATATATTATTCTGAAATGGACCAATCTGCACAATAAATAATTGTGGTACTATATTTTTAAGCTAATACTTTTCTACTTTTACTTGAGTAACATTTTGAATGCAGAGTATTACTGTAACAGAGTATTCCTACACTCTGGTACTTCTACTTTACTCAAGTGAACGATCTGAGTACTTCTCCAACCTCTGGTCATATCTCATGGAGGGCGTTAGACGCTGTACAGGGACCAGTGTGTGTGGTTTCAGGAGCAGTTTGTTCAGCAGAATATCCACTCACCTCTCTCGCTATGAGGTTCAGGGCATCGTCCTCCGCCGTCGACTTGTCCTTCTTGGTGGACCTTTTCCGTCCTGCGCCCTGAGTCCCCATGTTGTCTCAAACTTCTCCACTCACTGTAGATAAAGTCGCACTCCAGAGAAAGCGCAGAATAATCCAAACAGAGCTAGTTGGGGGCTCTCATGAGTAGCTAAAATATCGAGTTAAAGGCGAGCAGATCAAACCGACCGTGTGTAGCAGCGCTTACAGCGTGGGTCATTGTCACACATCCGTTTCTCACTCCTTCCTGTGCTTCTGTCTCGAGCTACACTCAGCTCTGCTTCACACTGACGGGGACTGGCAGCATCTGCCCCACGTGCGCTTCTGATGCGTTTACCTAGCAAACTCAGTCAAAGAAAGCGTTCACTGTAGCTTTAAACATTGTCTGTTTCTGTCTCACATGTATTCACTAAAAAACAAACACCGACAATTAAATACTAAAGTAAGCTGTAGCTAAAACACCGGTATTGTAGTGTGTTTTGCCTCGTGTTTATCTAGCAGCAGTGTGACTCCACCACCTGACGGATTCTCAGCAGGAGACTCGAACCTGTCACTCTGACGAACTTCAAAGCATTTCCTCGATCAAGCTGCCTTCAAGTGAGGTCGGATATATTGGTTGCAATAGAAACGTCATTTTGTCACCAAAAAAAACACTGGTTAAGCAGACATTGTAGACCTAAATACGATTAGCTACGGTAACGGTTTATTAATACTACTAATAGGAAAAGCCAACTGATTAAATCTCTCTAAATTTCATTTTAAATTATTGTACTTGCTTGACTTGGACACCCTCGACATCTTTTGGCGAGTGAAACACATGAATGAATACAACAGATGGTAGGTGTGGGTTTGTGTAGCCTACTGTGTGTTTGGTCATTGTAAAGAAGGGGAGAGGAGTCTACAAACATTCAAATAATTAAAACTCGACTAGGCTTACTAACATAACGTAACTTTATATATAGGATACTCTTAAAACGTTAGCATTACATTAAAAAAACATCTAAAAAAAGCGAGAAGAATAACAATGTAGGACCTAATTAAAGCACTTTATGTGTGTCTATCGGTGAGTCCTTGAAAGCAGCTCGAACCTCTGGAGGGGACTACATGTTCAGGGCTTCAGTTTCAGAGAGATATCCCAGCTCCACTCTCTCACACCCCCTGCTATTTTTAATGACGAGCGAACTCTAAAAACAGTGTTGGGTTTCTTAGAGCCAGACAATAGCTCAGTTTGAATAAGAACCAAGTCGATCCCTCACTCTTTATGTAATGGTCCACTATAATGTGTGTGATATATTCAACAGTGAGTTGATACAGTGTAGTGACTTTACTTCATACTTTGTATATCCTGTGGTAACCCTTAACACTGTTGAATCATTTGTAACTCATGTAATATAGAGAAACCTGTGTGATATTTTCAGTGGTGTAAAGTAACTAAGTAGATGTAGTCAAATACTGTACTTAAGTTTAATGATGCTTATTTTTACTTTTACTTCACTACATTTATTTAGTACCTTTAGTTACTTTACAGATTTGGATAAATTGATGTGACATATAATCAACTCTTAAATCAGACTGTATAGTTACACCTGGAGTAAACCACTTTAATGCATCAATAATTATAAAACACATCAAATACTTTATTCTGAAATGGACAATCTGCACAATGACTACTTTTACTTTTGATACTTTAACTATATTTTGATGCTAATACTTTTTCTACTTTTACTTGAGTAACATTTTGAATATAGGACTTTTAATGTCACAGAGTATTCCTACACTTATACTTTTATTTAAGTGCAAGATATGAGTACTTCTCCCACCTCTGGATATTTTTACACTCTTCATCAACGTTGTATTTGTTATGTATTCACAGTTGCCACATTAAGTACTTGGTTTTGCGTAGGCACAACTTTACATTTTATTTTGGAAAGGTTTAAAGGCTTACTGGTAAAAAAGTCTTGATGTTATCATATTTTATCAGTAAAAAAAGAGAGTTAGAATGCATATTGAAGGTTCCTTCAAAGTATTGAATCGATGAGACACTTGCATTTAAGCAACTGAATACATTTGCCTAAAGGTTATTTTATGACAAAGTGGTTCCCAGACCATCATATTCGAATTATGTTACCATGGTATTGATAACTGTAATGTCTGGAAAGACACTTTATCATTACCACTGGGCTGTGATAATGCAATGACTCCCTCTTGTGTTGAATCAGTGCCTTGCAAAGAGATAGAGGAAAAACACGAAATGTTTGTGTCCCATTTTGAATGACTTAACCTAACTTATTTCACCATGCAACTAAGCAATATATCATGTAATAGGAAATTCATATTGAAACATGCTGTAAAGTAACACCATACACAAATAAAGTTTTCCTTCATTAAATGTTGTTAATGAACTGAATGAATACATAACTTCAATAAAAAGACATCTGGCATCTGATGGACATAACACTGAACTTTGGAAGAAGACCACATTTCTCATCCAGTTTGCCCCCATCAAAAACTCCCCAGTGTAATTTACCAAAAACATGACCATTAGTTTGTCACTGTTGTCCTCCTGTGTTATGTGTAATGAGCATGTTAACCGTGAGTGCATGTGATGTTTAGTTTACAATGGCCTCAAATGTGTTATAGCTCTGTTGTGGGTGTCTAAAAGGAAGTGAAATTATGGTGTCAGCCTTTTACAAGTTAAGACTGGACTTTGGTTTTACTTTTATTTTCTGTAAAACCAGTTAAAGCTTGCGTAGTGTCAGACACGGCAGAGAAGACATTATTACATCTCTGACAGAGTTTGGAGTAGTTGTTGCTAAGGAGACGGAGGACTGCTGAATCAGGGCTTGAGGACCTTCTGGGACTTTTTACTATCTTGTCATTCTGTATTTTATCACTCTTTTGAAACGGAGTGAACTTTTGATGGGGGAAAAGCTCCCAAAGGTGCCAGGAGACCCCGACACTTTGAGCAGACCGATGCGGACCCTCAGGGTTAAGATGGTTCTTCTGGGGGCCTCTGGTGTGGGAAAGTCCAGCCTGGCCCTGCGGTTCTGCAAGGATGAGTTCAGGAGGACATCACCTACTGTAGGCTGTGAGTTCATGACATATGCAGAGACAATGATATATTGGGGAAAAACGTATTTAATCTGAAAATAATTCAAATATATATTTTGTGATGTGAAAGTTGTTATTTGCCTTCTTGCTGAAGGTTGGATTCAAAGATCTTAACTATACTCATGATTCCTTAATGGCTTAGCATTCAGCCTGGAAGCAGTGGAAACAGCTAACATGGCTGTAGCTGCAGTAGAAACAAATTCTTAATAACAGCTGTTAAAAGTTTAACCTATTCCAAAATCTGTGTATAGTTCAAAAACAACATCCAGCTGTGGTCTCTCTGTAACTTATGTGTTTAGAATATTTCTCAGCGAGAAACATGAACTTCCTGGAGAAACCACAACTTCTCTTTTAATCCTCAGTTTTTGTACGGACTAAACAAACAAGAGTATTTGTTAACTAACTTCATTGGAGCTTGAAGGCATATTTTTTTCCTGGAAAAAGCCAGACTGGTTGTAAAAGGTGTATCCAGTTTTGATGCTAAGCTAGGCTAATGACTCCTGGCTATCGCTTCATAGATCTAAATAATTGATAAAGTTCTCAATTTGTTATTCTTTCTCTAGTTAATGAACTTATTTCCCAAAATGTCAACTTAAATATTTATCATAATTATATAGTTGTATAATTTAATAGTTTGGCATGGCTCTTATATTTGTGATTTTCAACATAGAATCACCAAACAAAGTACACACAGTTTTTTTGGCTTTTCGAGTCGTATTTAGATTGAAAGCTGTGACGGTGCTTCCACAAGTGAGACAGAATGTTGCGTTAATAGCTTAAAGGTCACCTGTTATGCAAAATCCACTTTTTCATGTATTTTATACATCAACATGTGTCCCCTCTATGTAAAGACATTCTGAACGTTTCAGGAAAAAAGATTCGCTCACTTTTTGTCCGATCCATTTATATAAAAACCTGTCTGAAAATGAGTTGATCAGATTTTGGCCACTTTATGATGTCATGGCGATTTTTTGGCCACATTATCAGCTGAATCTCCTCCTCTAGCACCATTGTGCTCTTTTTGACCAAATGTCTCTCAGAGTGGCGTTGGGAGGTGCACCTTATTTTCATCTAAAGTAACAGACAGAGAATCAGCACTTTGGAAACAGGGCTGAAACAGAGTTATGGCATGCTACAATGGGTGATCTGTTTGGTATTTCGAGCCAAACACTTCAGAGACATGTTTGTATCCAAGACCTATTGATGATAAACAGTATAATAGAGGACCTTTAAAGGTCACCTATCATGCTATTTTTAGGCAATAGCATATAGGTCTCAGATATATAAAAAATATATATAAAAAGCATGTCTATGAAGTGTTTTTCTCAAAATACCAAACAGATCACCCATTCTAGCCAATGCATCATACCCTTCTATTTCAGCCCTGTTACTAAATTGCTGATTCTGGGTAAGCTTAAAAAAAAAAAAAATTGGGAAAAAAAAGAGAGGGCGGAGCTTATGCCTGCTCATGCGGGACCCGGCAGATACTGGGTGTTTCTAAATGTCGAGGAGGCTTGCTTGGTAGCACATGTACCTCTGCGTGAGTTCCTTCAGAAGCGAGGCAAGAATACCTCCTATAGCCTCGGAAAACGAAGAGTGGAACAGGCTAGCAAGTGTGCAGGTGTGCGTCATATGAGAGGCCCCGCCTTACATTTTCCGCCAAAGATTTTGGAAATTGGTCCGTGCGCAAAGCATTGTGGGGATTTTAAGACCGCGGAGTCTACACATGTGCAGCCTCGAAATTTCCCGTAACGAAGTACACCGGCCTTGGTAGAATTCCAAGTATCCTGGAAATTGGAACAGTCCTTCGGCGGCACTCGATGATGTAGTATCTTGAAATAGTGGCTCTGGAGCAGCTTTACTTGAGATTGAGAAACACCCACTGTCTAAATGCTGCGGTAATGAATCGCCATATCATGTTCCAAACCACATCAAGGATTATTTCTGAAACAGTATAGAGCTCAAATGCTTTCTCTCTCGCAGGTGTACCACAAGGACCGTACCTTTTATATCCTGTTTCTTTACACATATTCTCTCCAGTACAGCGTTAGCTCTGAGTGTTAGCGATGCTTGCTAATGTAAACACAGACCAAATTACTTCCAAAACACGTCGGGCATTGTTTCTGATACAGCAACGTTTCTGATAGGGCCGTGGGTCCAAATCTGGATCAGCTCCGTTGTAACCCCGTTTTTAGAGATTTGCGCATGGAGGAAAAGAGAGAGGGTTTTATTTTCTGACACTTTGTGTGTTTCCTGACACACCGGGGTACATCATTATCTATAAAAGACATAAAAAAGTGCATTTTCCACGATAAGTCCCCTTTAAAATGCGTCAACATGACACACTAAACGTTGCTGATCTGTGAACAAATGAGTCCCGGATGATGTCATTGTGCTGTCTGTCCCCCCCCCCCCCTCCCCCTCAGGTGCATACCTCACCCAGGCGGTGCATCTGCGTGAAGTCACTCTTCGCTTTGAGATTTGGGACACGGCAGGGGAGGAAAAGTACCACAGTGTCACCCCCCTTTACTACAGAGGAGCCCACGCTGCACTGCTGGTCTATGATATCAGCAAAAGGGTAACGGAACAGACATCTGACCACTAAAATAACTCATCAACTCTCATTGTTTGGGCTGGTGCTCATTACGTTGTGTATCTTTGTGTGTGTTTGTGTCAATAAAGGACACATTTATCAGAGCTCAAGTGTGGCTCAGAGAGCTGGAGAAGCAGTACTTCTCAGGATCCACCGTCCTGTGGCTGGTGGGCAACAAGGGCGACCTGGAACAGCATCGACAAGTGTCAGCGCAGGTACACACGGAATAACTCCTTTTATCACAGTCAATCAGTCTATAAAATGCTACCATACACTGAACAAACTGAAATGTTGACTTTAATTAAATGTATTAACAGATTTCACATAACTGTATTAGGTTAGATGAAAGCTATAACATTAAGTTCAAAGAAAAATATATACATGTTCAACTTAATTGTATTGCTTTCATCTGACATTTTGTTGCCATAATACATTTAATTAAGGTCAACGTTTCTGTGTTTTCCTTTTATATTACAATCTATAACATTCATTGTGTTGTGGACCACACACAATACAGACGGTTGCAATATTGTGCATAAACCTGCAATGTGTAATATCGTTTTCAATTGCTGCTACTCATTTTTTAGACACAGCTGTTTGTCATTATTTCTATTCTATTACTAATTTGTGCTTTTCTTCTCTACATTTAATAAGTAAACATACTCTTTATTATTGCATTACTTTTGTGGCTGCCCAAAACGCTTCCATTAGGAGAAACACGCTGCATTTAAGAAAATTATGCAAATATAAAAACCCAAATGTGCCAAAACACATGCAAATGAAGAAACATCTTTACCAACTTGACAACATATGCGCAGCATTTACTAAAAGAAACGAAATGCTGCAGAGAAAAAAACGCAGCAATAAGAACAAAAACCAGGGGACATTAAAAAGTGATACACACAGCTGGGAGCAACCCGGTATCACGGTGAGACGTGAACATGTGACGCTTTACCATTGCTGGGAGACGTGAAGATGTCACGGTTTCGTCTTTTCAAAACGTGAAAAGCGTGACAACTACACGGTATTGTTAACCCATGTTAACCAGTGGAGAAATAACCGGAAATACCAAGCAAATGCTACTCCGACGTAATGATTTATTTTTTAATAGTCACAATCGATTACAGCGATTTTCTTGTTGCCCCAGCTGGTCGACACCTCTTTTAGCATAAACAAAGGCTACATTAATGTATTAAATCGATGTTAATCCATGCGTGTGGATGTGGAATTAACGGACGTGACGTTGTGCGATTGAGTTGCCAAGCAACAGCTTCGGTTCATGTTAATTTACAAACTATTCAACTACAACCGTAGTTATATTTAAAAACATGTTAGAAGGCCTCACGAAATACTTTAATGCACATTAAAATGTAAATGTGAAGGAATGTGTGTATAACAAAATACATCGGTCATTAAACGAAACCGGAAACAGACGTAGGCAAGATCCTCAGCTCGATGATTGGATGGTTATCCGCAATGCATGCTGGGATTTGGTGTTTATGTGATGTGAAATCTGAAAACGTTTTTTAAAAATACAATAATACTTTATTCCGAGTGTGCTTGCTTTTCTCTTTGAAAGTCATCACATAACGGCATTGTAATACACGGTTCGGCTGCATTACATATTACATATCTGCCGTAGTTCTCTATTTATAGAGCCCTGCTGAGAAGACTTCTAGACAAACATGAGGCACTGAAAACGTGACGTGGATCATAAATATATAAGCAATTAAACAACATCTTACATTTCTTTTCACACAATACGTCTCCTTGCAGTATCAACACTAATTCGGCTGACTTTTATATTTGATCCAATTGGTAGATAGGCTGTATTTACACCATAACCGTGCAGAGCTGATAGAAAGGGACACCTGGTGGTCAAAGCACGTTATTGAATTGTATTATTTTATTATTAGATATTAATAGGAGGATGTGCAAAACAGACAAACTAATAAGGCTTAATTTAAACATTAAAGAGTACTTTAGGTTAAGGTCTTATTTTGAATAAGAAAAAAGCTTTAAGAAGAATATGGAGGGATGAAACCCTCTTGAAACCGCAGGTCCTTCCTTCCTGCAGCGGTCAGACTGTACAACCAGCACTGCCCCTTGTTGACCCTCCTACACACACCACAACACAGACTATAACACCCCTTGCTGCTAAATACAAACCAACTTTGTGCAATATGTGCTATATGTGCAATATATATATATATATATGCCATTAATAACTGTGTAATTTATACCTGGCCACTAAATCAATATATATGCCGTTTTGTTTTTGATCTGTATTTTTGAAAATTATGTAACTTTTTATCTTTTTTTTTTAGCATATTGTTTAATATATTATAACTTAGTACTTTTTTAGCATACTGTTTATTTTATTCTAACTTAGTACTTTTTTAACGCATGTAAGATATGCAACACTAAGCTGTCTGTGGCTCTTTCCTGCTGTAACGCTGCACATTTCCCCTCTGTGGAACTAATAAAGGTATTCTGATTCTTTAATGGTCACACATGCAGAGCACACAGCACACACAGTGACATTTGTATCTACAGATAAATATTAAGCCTGACAAAGTACTTAACGTCTAATATATTGCTTTCCTGCAATGTTAACTATGTTTAAGCACTTATTTGTTTATTATTTGTTTATTATTAAACTGATATTATACATATGTATTATACTCTTATAAGATGTATGTAGATAGTATAAGAAATGTGCAGAATGACAGTTTAATGGTGGAGTATACACACATATTGATAGATGTCTTGTAATGCACTGTTGAGGAACCTGCGACCCAAGTTTTTCATTCATTGCATAACTACACAGTAGTTGTGTATAATATGATATGTCAATAAACCTTAGCTTATAAAATCTTGAAAGGGATGTTCAAACTAGTCATTATATACAGTCTTTAATGAACTATTAGTAGAGAATAACGAGTAATGAATATACTTTATAGAGATCCTATTAATATCTAATAATAAAATAATAAAATTCAATAACGTGCTTTGACCACCAGGTGTCCCTTTCTATCAGCTCTGCACGGTTATGGTGTAAATACAGCCTATCTACCAATTGGATCAAATATAAAAGTCAGCCAAATTAGTGTTGATACTGCAAGGAGACGCATTGTGTGAAAAGAAATGTAAGATGTTGTATAATTGCTTATATATTTATGATCAACGTCACGTATTCAGTTTTGGCGGCAGTTCTCCTGTTTGTCCAGAAGTCTTCTCAGCAGGGCTCTATAAATAGAGAACTACGGCAGATATGTAATATTTAATGCAGCCGAACCGTGTATTACAATGCCGTTATGTGATGACTTTCAAAGAGTAAAGCAAGCACACTCGGAATAATGTATTATTGTATTTTTAAAAAACGTTTTCAGATTTCACATCACATAAACACCAAATCCCAGCATGCATTGCGGATAACCATCCAATCATCGAGCTGAGGATCTTGCCTACGTCTGTTTCCGGTTTCGTTTAATGACCGATGTATTTTGTTATACACACATTCCTTCACATTTACATTTTAATGTGCATTAAAGTATTTCGTGAGGCCTTCTAACATGTTTTTAAATATAACTACGGTTGTAGTTGAATAGTTTGTAAATTAACATGAACCGAAGCTGTTGCTTGGCAACTCAATCGCACAACGTCACGTCCGTTAATTCCACATCCACACGCATGGATTAACATCGATTTAATACATTAATGTAGCCTTTGTTTATGCTAAAAGAGGTGTCGACCAGCTGGGGCAACAAGAAAATCGCTGTAATCGAGTGTGACTATTAAAAAATAAATCATTACGTCGGGGGTAGCATTTGCTTGGTATTTCCGGTTATTTCTCCACTGGTTAACATGGGTTAACAATACCGTGTAGCTGTCACGCTTTTCACGTTTTGAAAAGACGAAACCGTGACATCTTCACGTCTCCCAGCAATGGTAAAGCGTCACATGTTCACGTCTCACCGTGATACCGGCCGGGTTGGCTGGGAGTGCTATATAGAGCCGAAGTCCCTCCCTTTCCGGTGAAACTCCATGGGACACTGGTCGTTTCTCAATGTCGAGTAAAGCTGCTGCAGAGCCACTATTTCAAGTATACTACGTCATCGAGTGGCGCCGAATGCTGGGCCTTTAAACAGTCCTTCGGCGCCACTCGATGACGTAGTATACTTGAAATAGTGGCTCTGCAGCAGGTTTACTCGACATTGAGAAACGGCCCTTATTTCGGAAAAATCATGTATTGAAGTCAAAGTTATCTTTCGATCCCGTTTGAATTGTGCCACGAATAACACATATGATGTTTGTCAATTTAAGTTAAGTTAAGTTAAGTTAAAAAAAAAAAAATTGCCGTAAAACTGTGAAGTAAGACTTTTTTTGTGTGAAACCGCTCAATGAACTACATCTCTGGTGTCACAGAACAATACACGTCACCAAGATGGCCGTCACTACTGTCCTGCCAAAAAGGGATTGACTACCCTCACTATCACCACAATGAAACACGTCAAGAAGAATGTCATTCAAAGCTGCCTGCCTGCCTTCCTTCGATTCTCCCTGAACCGTCTGATCTTGTTAATGTTCAATGTTAACCATTTGTGCAGATAGCTTGAAGTAGAAAAGATCGACGATGCTAATGTACCGTTAGCGTTAGCATGTCTGCCCCCGGGGGAGGGGGCATCTGTTTCATAACTGTGTTTGTCAGTATATTTGAAATGACTGCAGGCTATGTTAGCTGCTATCGTTCAACAGATCTGCAATAATATCAGAAGGAATCCTGCGATAAAATTATCATTATTTATATTTTAGGTACGTTTCCAGTGGCCTACTTTATAATCCCTGGGTCCAGGGTCCACTGGTTCTGGTGTGTTTCGAGCTTAATTGCTGCGATTTGTTCATTGCAACGCTTTTTGTAAACACTGTGCATGTGTTGTCAAGTTGGTGAAGATGTTTCTTCATTTACATCTTCCAAAACAGATGTAATGTACATGTGTTTTGGCAGATTTGTGTTTTTATATATATTTTCTCATACATGCTTTGTTTTTGAAAGTGCAATCAGTTTCTCCTAATTGAAGTGTTTTGGTGCGTTTGCCCGTCAGCCACAGTAAATATGCCACTGCTATACACTGTAACACTGCACTTTCCCCCGCTGATTCTGATTGGTCCTACAGGAAGGACAGAGTCTGGCCAATGACAGAGGGTTATTCTTCACAGAGACATCAGCCCTGTCAGGGGATCAGGTGGAGCAGCTGCTGCTGGGTGTAGGTAAGAAGGCTAAAGGTGTCGGAGGGAATGCAACAAACATGTTCATAGAGACTATTATTGCCTGGACTTAGCAACACAGCTTTGCTGCTAGGCTGTGTTTTGCCCCAGCAAACGTCCATCCTTCAGGTGCCTTAAAATACTAAGAGAGTTTGAGGGCAAAGGGATAGTTTGGATTTTTTGAAGAGGTGTTGTTTGACGTACAGTCAATTCACCATCAGTGTATCGCAAACAGTAAATGACCAACAAGAATACCAGCAGGGAGCTAAGCTATAGCACTGCGGACAGGTGCGGCAGCAAAACGAGTTTGAGACAACTAAAAACTCAATATCCGCAACCACAGCCTTTATCTATGCTCTTTTAAAAATCACCAGACTCCATTGACACAAACAATGAATCTACCTAGCAGAACAGAGGAGCAGCTGCCCTGATCGATTAGCTGCTTGGTCTTATTGTGTGACTTCTGTGTTTTAAAGGTCCCATGTCATGGCCATTTCCACTCAGACCCGGCGCCAGAACAAATCTAAAGGGAGGGCATATGATTTTCATGGGAGGGCACACAAAACCGTCACGTGCTGCGGGCCTGCGGCACAATATATATCAAACAGCAAGGCCAACAGCATTGCGTAAAGACGCACACTTATCGCAAACACATACACAAATAAAGGACAACATAAACCACTTTTGAAACATTGTGTGCGTGGCAGCACAAACACTGTAAATCACGAGCAAGGCACACTGTTAAGGATGGCAGCTTCCTCACCGTTGCACTCGGAGAGAAATAGTAGAGACGGAGACGATGAACTGCTGTTAGCTCTATTATGGCATTGTGCATGTTGTGAGAGGTGTATGTTGCTGTGTGGGGAATGCTGTCCATTATTTTGGCCAACTCTGCATCTTTGTACTGCAGCATATACTCAAACAGCGACAGGAAGAGCCCACTGCCTGACTCGGACATGCTGTGGAGTGAACCGTGGTCACCTCTGAGAGGGAGTTGGTTGACAGCTAAAAAAGCTATAATATCAACGACAAATGACACGTAATAACGGTTCCGTGCCAGCTGATCTGCACCAAAGTACTCATGTCCTTATTTGTTTCCTCGCGTATCTGTCTCTCTCTCCACAAACTCTCACATGAAATGTGTTCTTTTGATGCGGCATGCCTTTGCAGTCCTTTATCAGTCTGTAATGCGTGTTTCCAGTCGCAAAAACCTTTGACAGTAAAAGCCGCATCAGATGAAGACGTATTTACTTTAAACTGTCTACAGGGGAAACAAAAGGCTGCGTCTGCTTTGAACGAATCTTCAAGACATGGTCTGTTGTTGTACCATGCAGCGGCAAAAGTGCGCTTCTTTCCTGAAAACAATCTCCCTGGATAACGATCCAGTTTCACCTGGTTGGGTTTATTAACCCCAAGATCATCTGGGGCTCTTGGTCTTTGAGCGGTTGCTGGCCCAATAGAACCTGTTGATGTTACTGCAAGGTAGCGTCTCTAGTGGAGGCACCGGCACGGAGGAGGAGGAGGATGCTGGCGGGTGTGGTACAGGGTGTGGCAACGCAGGTGGTGATGGTAGGGGCACAAGGAGCTGTGCCTCGGAGGACAGCGTTGGTGGCGGCCGCCTTGATGAGTCAAGGCTTGGGCTCGCTAACTCAGCCCCGGGGTTTGCCGAGGTCAAGCTTGTGACATTAAGGCGTGCTGCTGCAACGGCTGGTGCAGGGTCGCCAGCAGCACCATCGGCTGCAGTTCTTTCATCGATATTTCGTTTTAATAAATCCTTAGACCTTTTAAGCCAATTTCTGATGTCCATTGTGTAATTCAAACATAAATGGGAGTCTACAGAATGCACAATAAACAATACACAAATCTAGAATAGGCGGCAGAGTGTGACGCTGTGATTGGTCTAAATGTGGACGAATCACAAATCACAACAGACACATGAATTTATTTGACGTAGCCTGCGATTTTTTGTTTTAGTTACTATCTGACATCACATACATCGTAGCATAAAAGTTCACAGTTTATTTATACGGTGCCGGGCATGTTTCCACTGATCATAATTCCATTGTTGAGGTCTACTAGAATAGATTTATATTGTCCAATTCTCCAAACTCACATTGGTTTCTCATACAGCATCTCTGTAAACTACGTGTATTCACTGAATTTCACTCTCTGCCTTTAACGGCTCGTTGTAGCTCCAATAGCTCCAGCCCCCACACTCCCTGTGAGCACAGTGTGCTCTGATTGGTCGGGACGTTGTGAATCGCGCTGAGCTCCGTGGAGGTGTTGTTTCCTTGTTTAGCGATGTAGGAGCCGCATTTAAGTTTATTTTGTTTTGATTTATTTGGAACCTTTATTAATGCATTTTTCTGTTTCTGTGAGAGGTGTGCTTTGCTCAGGTGAAGGGGGCGGGGCTAAGGCTTTAAGTTGGAGGTGCGGTGTGTGACGGGAGAGCAGCAGGCAGCAGCAATACCGTCATTGACACGCAGACGCAACCTTATACTTAGTCAAATACAGATTATTAGGATCTGCTGTTTAAGTTTATGTTAAATATTGCTTTCGTATTTTGTTTTGCTGGAAATAAACCTTGAAAAGCAACCGAAACGTCCAGTGTATTGTGTACTGCGAGTCTGACACTGCTTCCGAGGCCCAAGCTCTACATGTGGCCAAGAACAATAACTTTTGAGGTGAAGGTTACAAGACAAACTTTTTGGGATTTTGGCCACTACAAGCGATACACATCGAAACACAGCCAAACTCATCCTGAGCACACACAAAGTCACAGCCGAAGTAAAAACAATAAGTGTGGCTTGATATTGAGTAAGAAAAAGGTTGATAAACGCTGTGAGAATGGGTCTGCAGAGAGAATTTTGCCGCGATCCCAACTGTCTGTTATCAGCCTGCAGCCAGGGAGGAGAAATCAGCAGAGCTGCCTGCAGTGAGTAGCAGCGCCATATGAGTAGGCTTGTTTGAGAAAAGAAGAAATTCATCATTCAATTCATTCTATATTTTATTCTGTCTATTGTGTACATTACTTTTCACTTTACTGCTTGTTGCACTCCTGGTTAGAAGCTAAACTGCATTTCGTTGTCTCAGTACCTGTAATATGTGAAATAACAATAAAGTAGAATCTAATCTTGAGCAGGAACAAATGTATTTACTTAGTACATATCTGACATTAACGATTAAACACGTGTGTGCATTCTTTATAAATGCAAACCGAGTCAAGCCGACTCCGGAGGTGGCGGTAGTGATGGCAGTTTGACACTGAAGCTTCGAACGGAGCTTCAACCCTGGACTTCCTATTCCATAGAAGCAGTGCTTCGAAGCTTGCTTCAAATCACGTGACATATGACGTCCGAAGCAGCAACTGCTTCAAATCACGTGACATGTGACGTCCGAAGCAGCAACTGCTTCATTTCCTGAATGAATCACTTGACTGGTTCACGGTCCATTCACGCGATTCAATGCACTGCCTCGTCTCGATTCTGACAGGTGACAGGTTGAAACAGTTTCAAACTTGAGTGCTTCAACACTTTATGACCGCTCTAAACAATGCACAATGTGTGGGTTGTTTTCGTAGTTTGCGTTGTTGCTGTTGAGTTGTTGTTGGCATTGTATTTGATATCATTATAGAGCAAGCCAGGAAGAAAGATAGGTCGTTCTGGCTCGGGAAACACTTCGAAATGTGGAGAAGTTGTGAACAAAAAGACAATTATCAGTAATATAAAAACAGTTAATTATTTCAAGCAATAGATAGCCCAGTGGGTAGAGCCGGCGGCCCGAATGCGGCGATGTCCTCCGCGCAGCTGGTTGAAATCCCGGAATGGACGTATTTTAATCATTGCTTTTCAACTTTAATAACTGATAAAAGGCCCTCTCCGCCCAAAAACATGTCTAGCACTCTCTAGTCTCTTCTCAATAACCCAATACAGACAATTATCAATCTTTAATTTCAAATAGAACATGATATTCAGTCTTAGTGTGTGTGTGTGCATCGAATATTTTTCAAGGCAAAGATACGTTAAACCCACTGCAGCCTTGCACTTCGCCAGGAGAGGTCGCTGTAACTGAAGCTTCGAGAAATGAACCTATTTCCGACACAATTGTCCAAGTGGTTCGACGCTTCATTCAAAGCTTCATTTTGCCATCACTAGGTGGCGGTATGCACCTTAACGTTGTTTGCAATCCGCCAAAAAACCGAGAGAAGAAGAAGAAGAAGGCGAAGAAGAAGATGAAGAAGACGAAGCCGACTCCGAGCTGTCCGACTTCAGGCGAGCTTTTTGAGACCTCCCCCGGCTGCGATCGGCTACTCTCGTCATAGCCGCGGGAAGTCATTTTGCTCAGGGGTGCTGCCAAAAGTGGGGATGGAGCCGTTTACATTTTTTTTTAAAAGGCGGTGCCGGGCCGGGCCCGGCTGTCAGCGATACGAGCCGCATAAATTGTTTGTTAAAGGCGAGACACGGCAGGCAAAAACATCGTTTTTCATGCACTGGTCAATTTTTAGATGTTGTGCTATTTTGATTCCATAACATGTTTTCTTTCAGGCTTTTGGAAAGAAAACGTACAAAATACACATTTAAGTGTTCATTTTACTATAGTTTGTCTATTTGCATCTGTATATTTCTCCTAAATTCACCAAAAGTTAGCATTTCTAACGTAACATAAAGTACCGCGATCGCTGTTTGCACAATGTCATCGTTGGAAAAGCTCCGTCTCTCCTGCACAATGATCTCATCGGATCCAAATATGGTCATTTCCTTTGTATCAGCAACCAATTGTGAAAGCACAAAAGGGTCTTAAACCAAGAAACGAAATCTCATTGGTTGGTGTCAATTTCTGACAACGTGATTCGTTCAGATGCATCACGTGGTGTGCTAAAACACTTCCTGATTAGCTTTCCGCTAGAAATGTAAATCTCAAAATGGCAAAAGAACGGCGGAAAAAAACGTTCACAGAGAAGACAACAACAATTGTCACTTGCACGAAGCAAGGTTATACAAAACACAAATGACCCCGACTATGAAATACCTTCACGGAGTGCGTCGATGCGCAAGCTGTCATCCAAAGAACAGAGGGTTTAGCTAGCGCCTCACTGCAATCTTTAAAGTTCGTTTTCTCAAAATGAGTTTTTTCTCCTACTCTGAGTCCGAAATGTCCACTTCAGTTGCAATTACATACACCAGACCTTCCAGTTATATTCCTATCAATATTATGAAGGCTTTTACAGAAGGGTTTGTTCATATATCATTCATAGCCTGAATTATATAAGATTGTATACCTAGAAACATGGCGAAAATTGATATTTTAGGGCTGTTGACAATATTTTCTGATTTATGGAGTGATAAAGAGAGATATCCAAAATCCCTTCGGTGAAAGCCTTACAGTAGATGCTAATATGACTACAAAATGAAACGAGAATTTTGAACCTGGCTTTATCCAAAGTTCAGATTTCGGTTCCTGAAATGTGTTAAAATATGCGCAAATTTAATGAGATAATGGATAATTTATATATATTACTCTAGTTGTAGAGGTGGTGGGCTGAGGAGTAGCTGGTGGTCCACTCTTTTTATTGGGTTGTTTGTTGAAAAAAAAATAATCCTTTTTTGCTCCATTCTAGAAAGTTGTCACTCTGCAGTGTGTGTGTCGCGTCAATTACGTCACTCTCCCAAGACCTACGACCAAGATGACTCGGATTTTACTTATTTGGAAAATAAATTCAAGCCACCTGATATATACAAATATATACTATGACTATTATATGCTACTGTATACAGCAAATTTTATTTTAAGTAAAATCATAACTATTTTATGTAGTTTAATCATTTTTATTTAGGTGGTCACTCAGTTTTTCAAATGTACACCACTCGCCAACAGGGGGTGCTGCAGCACCCCCTGTTGGCGAGTGCAGCACCCCCAGCACCCCTACTTCCCGCGGCTATGACTCTCATCTACTTTCGAGGCGAGCCGCAACGCGTCTCAAACAAGCCTACTAGATGGCTCAAGGGGGAGTCGCCAGCGTAGCTCACTGGCGGCCATCTTGCCACAGTCAACAACTACTGCTACAGCTGTTGTAAGGTGAGTGATCTGCACAAAGATGCTCTTAACTCGCTGAATTCTTGACTGATTTACAAACGGTTTAGTTTATTATAAACGTTATTAGCATGGCTATGATACAGGAGACAACAAGACATGTTGAACAAAAAAAGTTCATGACTATAATTATAAGTATGCAGTATCATAACTACATCTTTGATGTTTATAACAAACCAAACCGTTTGAAAATTGGTTGAAAATGGAGCAATCTACGGTTATTTCAATAGTGCACCATAGACATAATGTTATGAATGATCGAGCTGCCTGTGGCAAGATGGCTGCCATGTGGCAACGTCGGTCTCCATTGGCCAGCAGCGCGGGTGAGTCATCTAGTGTTTATATATATCTATGGGCTCGCCTACATGAGACGTTGAAATCTCGCGGGACAAAGACGCCCGCAGCCTTGAGAGTGAGGCGCGGCGGCGCAGTTCCTCTCCACGGGCTGCGGAAGCGAAATGCTTGATGGGAAACGACTCGCTGGTATCTCGAGCTGAGCGCTCATTGGTGGTTTTTACCCCGTGCTGCTGATAAAACTCTCCAATTGGCTGGCAAAGTTTTGTTGTTGTTTTGTGTCAGTTGTACGTCGCCACATCCATTCCCATTTTTCATCATTGTTCCACAATGTTTATCATCATGAAATGAATATCTATATATTTTATACTATACTTGCATTGCTTACCGTTTTTATACTTTATATATCTTAGCATATTCATACACACTGTTCATTCTGCTCTCAGGCTGCTGTGTATATCTAGTGTATTCATACACACTGTTCATACTGCTCACAGGCTGCTGTGTATATCTAGTGTATTCATACCCCTCACTGTTTATTCATCATTCAATTCATTCTATATGTTATTCTGTAGATTGTGTACATTACTTTTCACTTTACTGCTTGTTGCACTCCTGGTTATAAGCTAAACTGCATTTTGTTGTCTCAGTACCTGTAATATGTGCAATAACAATAAAGTTGAATCTAATCTTGAGCAGGAACAAATGTATTTACTAAGTACATATCTGACATTAACGGTTAAACACATGTGTGCATTCTTTATAAATGCAAACCGAGTCAAGCCGACTCCGGAGGTGGCGGTATGCACCTTAAAGTTGTTTGCAATCCGCCAAAAAACCGAGAGAAGAAGAAGAAGACGAAGCCGACTCCGAGCTGTCCGACTTCATGCAAGCATTTTGAGACCTCCCCCGGCTGCGATCGGCTATTCTCGTCTACTTTCGAGGCGAGCCGCAACACGTCTCAAACAAGCCGAGTGTGTGTGTGAGGAAGTCCGTGGATTGGTCAATTTGGACCAATCAGCGGGGGCTTAACGTAACGGCTCCGCGGACGTAACGTAACGGCTCCACGGATTGGTCCATTTGGTTCCGAGTAACGCATGACCGTATCGCGTCATAGCTCTGGGCGCGGCTACTGGCCATTCCTACGTCACAATACCCAGGAAGTAAACAATGGACAATGACGTATCTTCAACGAGGCGTTTTGGGGAGGTATTTTCTGTGTTAGAGTTTTACTCGCTACAGGGTGTACTTTGAGGGTTTTGACTCTGCACACCGTTCACATGCATAAAAACCTTCATAACACACAAGGGGACGGGTAATAACCGGAAAAGCATGACATGGGACCTTTAAGCAGTTTTTTGGAAAGGGATTTCTGATGCAATGAAAGTATTCCACATAGTTCACATTTAAACCGGGAAATCTTTCTTTGGGGAGGATAAATACGTGTTGCTGCTGCTCGTCCACAGCAGTATATTGTTGAGCTTCCTGCTGGTATTCTTTTCTGTTTTTCCAAACAGCATCTACTGTAGGTAGCACACTAACTATGGACAAGTTAAACAACCCCACTTCAAACAATGCAAAGTATCCTGTTAAGCGTGTTGTCTGCTCCCCCTGGTTTATTCACAGTCTTAACTTGTTGTTGTCTTCCCCTTAACCAGGGGCGGACTGGGGGGAAAAAGTGGCCCGGGGATTAATTGACAGACAGGCCACTTAATGCGCGGCATGTATCGGCCGGCAGGCGACGAAAGTATGTAACTTAACAAAAAACCCTATGCATTTTATGTTATTTTGGACCATTATTCATATAGTAATCACATTACCTGAGCCCTTGAGTTGCCTAGAGCAAAATAGTTACAGCATATATTTAGTGATTTTAATGCTAACAGATCATTGATGCAATAACATTTGGACCCAATTTGCCTGACTTGACACATGGAATAAAACATGGGCGTAGGAGGCATCCTCAATGTGGGTGAGACAATTTAACAGGGAGGTGGTGGACCTCAACTCCTCTAGGGGGGTCCGGGGGCATACATGTTGAAGTTAAATGCATCAATCTGGTGCACTTTTAGAGCAAAATTAGGGACTAAATCTATGGATACATCTCTCATCACCCATATGAAACAGAACTGTAAACAGATTTACTTTTGCTTTCAACATTTATTTGAACAGCAAGTTGAGACAAAAATGACTGCACCCAAAACAATAAACCTGTTAGCTAACTATCCTAAACTCAGTAACAGAATGTGGGCAACACGTTCTTCTCCACAGCCGCGCGACCTCTGAGTCAGACGTCACTTCCCCCTTTTCTATCCTACTGGTACAGCCACTCCCCCTGAACTCTGTTTTCCTGCCAAATTATTCGGTACGGGCCCTTCGGTTCGGTACACGGGTGTGACCCCAGTGGGGTGCGGGCCACACCCCTCCAGGGAGTGGCCGGAACACTTACAAATGTTTTCCCGGTATTCCCAATGGCCTGTCCGCCCCTGCCCTTAACTGTGCATTTTTGTTCTTTGTTTGATTGTTTTTACAGCATATAGTATAACCAATAGTTTTACTTCTTTTTTTGCATTTATGGTCAAAGAAAATAAAAATGTTTAACCCAATTTTGAGTTAACAAAAGGCCAACAATTGGAATTATTTGTATCTAGTTAAGATCACAGGAACATACCTTGATCGATTGTCACAGCATTATCGTATACATCAAAGTTTAGTAAAGATTCTGTTTCAAAACCGTTAGAAACAAATGAATCGCATCACACCAGATGCTATACATTTGAATAAAACACACATAATTAAATAAAAGGTTTGATCATAAACCTCTTATCATACAGAAATATTAAGAAACAGGTCAGATTTGACCCAAGGGCAACAGGTTAACAGACTCATCTACCACTAGAGAGCAGTAGAGTTGTTTGTCTTCTTCTCAGGTGCTGGTTTTATTCTGCATGTGTTAGCATGTGTTGTTGTAACATAGCTCTGATTCAGCCCACAGGGTGTGCGAGTGTGTTGGAGCGCAGCAGGGGGCGCTGTCAGAGTGGAAGGAGACGCCTCATGTGGATTTGTGCCACAGAAACACATTCAATCGTTTTGCATCCTGCTGCAAAGTGGGACCCTGACCTCTAACTCTGTTGATTGTTGTACTGCTGGTCTCTGTTTTAAAGCTGCACCGGGTAACACATGGGCACCTGGTCATCACAACATCTCAAATAAAGAATTGTAAAAAAACACTGAATTGTGCAGAATTCAACCATTTGTTGTAATGACTTCCCTCAGAGGGTTAAGGATCACCTCCTCAGTCTATGCCATATGTTACGCTGATATCAACAGAGGTAGAAGAAGTACTCAGATATTTGACTTAACTTGAAGTAGAACTGCGACAGTGTACCCTGTTGCAAGTAAAAAGTCCATATTTAAGTAAATGTACATAAAAGTATCGGCATCAAAATATATTTAAGTAACACAAGTAAACGTACTCCTTGTGCTTTGTAGCTCCATTCAGAATCATATACTGTATACTAAATGGTTATGATTATTGAGGCATTCATTTGTTCATCATAGCTGGTAAAGGTGGAGCTATATATTTTTAGCCAATAATCTGGATCTGTAAAGTAACTAGTAATAATTTGTGTCCGATAAATGTAGTGAACTAAAAAGTAAAATATTTTGCTTACAAAATGTAGTGAAGTAAAGTAGTGTAACAAAAATACTCAAGTAAAGTACAAATACCCCAAAGTCATACTTATATACAATACTTGAGTAAATGTACTTCAATACATCACACACTGGATACTAACAACCTTTATTCAGAGTCTCCTGCCTGTGAGCACACTGAGCTTTACAGTTCAGTGTGCTTTCCAACACAACAGAAACCTTGTTAAGCAAAGCAAAGAAAAACTCAATAAAACTAGAAAAGTATATTGAGTGTGCAACAACGTGCTGTGGGTCTGGAGTTTGAAATGATTGAATTGTTGTACCGAATTGTACTGTAACTGATACATGTGTGCATCTTGAATGGTAAAGAAAAAACTGCAAATGTTTTATATTATCCGTCGGCCTTCTTCCCGTTGGGCTAGGTTAGTTCTGTCCCTCACAACAGTGAGATTATAAAGACACATTTAGGTGAATATGCCTATTTGCTTTCTGGCCCAGAGTGAGATGAGACTTGTAATACAAATGTTTCTTGTCTATGCATTAAGTTTATACGTATATTTAGATTACCTAGTTCCACAGAGTCACTGCCCACATCGTGGATTTGGTGAGCAATGAAAGCAGCATTAGTAAATACATCTGCTAATCTGTAGCCTAGCTAATCATAAAAAGCAACAAACCATATCTAAATATAATTATTTCTGCTTTTGTACGGATTGCATAAGAGATATGGCTTGTGCTTTAGTGGGCTTAAAGGCCCGGACACACCAATCTGACAACAAAGAACTGACACAGACGGACCCCGACTGTTGTGTCGCCTCGCGTCTCTGCGTCTTGGCCATGTGTCGCTCTGGAAGACACCGCAAAGACTTCAGCTGACGGCCAAGTAGCACGTACAAACTGCGCATGCGTGAGTGGCAATAACTCTCCTTACCAGCAGGTGGCGGTAGTGTGTTTTCGTCATTCAAAAGAGGCAACAACCGGAAGACATACTGCGTGATAACCGAGAGAAGAAGAACAGACTGCGTGATACAAACAAACAACAAATAGCGTGTGCGTTCCATTTTCACTCTACAGCGAGAAGCTCACGGGGCTTTCCCGAACCTGTGTCGAGAGCTGGAGTTAAATGAAATCTCACATTTGCCTTATTAATGATTTGTTTGGGTCCCTCACTTCCGATTCGCTTCTCATGCACTGATTCGCTAGCTGAACAGCCAATCAGAGTGATTTATTTTGCCGACAGCCCCGACTGCATACCGATTCGACATGTGGCCGAAAAGGTTGGTAGGTGGGTGGGGGTACCTCTGTGTCGCCTGTCAGCTCAACATGATGCCGTTTAAACAATATAATAATAAAGGGCGGCGCGGGCCGTCAGCGAACCGATCCGGCCTTTCTGCGCCACTGTCACTGAAATGCGGGACATAGTCTCAATTTGTGGGACGCGGGACAATTAATAAAAATGCTGTGTACAGTCCCGCACAAAGTGGCACACCTGGGGCCTCATTTATAACGCAGTGCGTAGGATTCACGTGGGAAGGTTGCTTACGTAGTAGAAATCCAAAAAATAGGTACAGAAATGTTCCGACATTTTTCCGATTCACCAAACATTGCGTACCGGCGAGGAAAGTGCGTACAGCACTTCCTACGTCGGTTTCCTTGTATAAATCACAATCGACTCGAAATGCGGTGCAGCTTTTGCGGGCTTCACGTAACGCCCATATTTGCCTATAAATAGTCAAAGAAACGCCCATTCATTCTGACTGACTTTATGAAGAAGATAGCAGGAAATGACGACAGAACAGTATATATATGATGAATTGGAAATGGGGGACCCTGATGTAAACAAGACGAAAGTCTTTCTCTGGTCTGCATCCCCTTAACAATTGTATGTTTTGAGCTGTACTGTACCCAATATACAAGCTGTTAATACACTTTTCAATCAATCAATCAATCACAGCTAAAAAATACATCTCACACCGTGTCAGATTTTGGGGACATCGAGATAAATCATATTGTTTGGTGGATGCCGTTTGAACCAGAGCAGCAGCATGGAGGTCGGATCGTCACCAAAATAAATAAATAAGTGGTCCGAAAAAGGTTCATGACAAAAAAAATACACATAGCCTTCCTCAGGCAGTGTGTTTGTACCGGGGACAGGAGACCCCCCCCTTGATGAGAAACTGTAAGAAATGATCGGGGAATCCCTCCGGAGTGGAGTCATGACAACTGGATCTGAATTATGTTTTTGTATTTGGTGGTTTGTGTCCCAGCTGTCGATCAGCTGTGCGCAGCGTCTCCACTGCAGCAACTCTATATCCACCAGTTAAAGGAAATACAACTAATGTGTTGTGTTATATCAGCTGTACAATTGACCACATATGGTGTTCTTAGTTTCCATACCTCCCGTGTTTTATGAGCGACTTATCAAGTCTTAGCAAACGGCATAAAACATGATTAAACATGGTAGTATATAAAACCATGCTCGTACAACCTATAGAAATGCAAAACCGCATCATTTATGAGAAAACATTTCATAACATTAACACAACATATTCGAGGTGGTTTTAAATAACATATCCGTATTTATTTATTTCTCCAAGTTATGTTTTTGTTCACTGAGGAGTCGCAAACAGGCGTTTGTTGAATCATTTTAAGATTGGCTTTAATCAATGTTTGAAAATGAATTCTTCATATATGATAAATGAGAGGTAACATTTTGTTTATGGTATTATTTCCACATATTTCTCTCCATTCTTCCTTCTGCCAACGGTGTCGCAGTTTCTCGTCTCTCCCGTTTTTGTGCTTAGTGCGTACGCATGGTTTAGAGTTTGCGTGGAGGACCGTACGTTTTCCCGTCAAGTTAGTATTTTATAAATCGCAAACATTGCGTAGAAACTGGCGTACGCCATTTTTTTTTAGAGTATATCCCTTTATAAATGAGGCCCCAGGTCATCCTACACACACACACGCTTCATATCAAGTTGCATAAATGCTTGAGCTACGTTTTTATTATAATTACTGTGAAATCTGCCTATTATGTTTTCGTCATTATTAAAACAAATACACACTTGCAACTGATAACACTGGCAATTATTTTATATTTATTAGACTGTTTAAAAAAAATCATGCTTCAAATAAGTGGGGGTACGGCGTACCCCCACGTCCAACGCCCACTACACCACTGAAGGTATCTGTATAGTCTATACCAGGGGTATTCAACTAAAATTCAACGAGGTCCAGTTAGAGAAAATGTCCCCATGCAAAGGTCCGGAACATCAAAATGTCTAACTTGCTTCATGAATTAGTGTGATATATATTGAAGTGACCTGTAGCTTTATCAACGTCTGCATGTAATCAACAACTGACTGCCAATCAAATAAAGAAAGTACAATTCATAAACAACAATATTTATTGTCAATTAACATTGAACTACAGATATACAGTAAATACTGTGGATATGTGTAATGTTCCTCTCGGGCTGCATTTAAAAATAAAATAGAGCAAATAAATAAAATAGCTTTTGAAAATGTGTGCATCTTAAAAGTGCTTAATTTTAGATAAATAAAATAAAGTGTAGCAGCAGCTTGAGTTTCCCTTTTTCTTTGTTAACCGTTTCACATCATGACTTAACAGTTTCAGCCGATTATAGAACAATATCAGTCTTTACACATCATAACAATTGAACAGTTTAAAAGTTTCTCTTTCTTTCCCTCTTATATTGCAGTCCCTCACTCACTTTGTTTTATTCAGTGCGAGAATTGAGCTGGAGCTTGTCCTGCCAGGAGTTTGTAAATCTGGGCTGAAATGGTGTCAGGGCCATTCTCATACACATGCAGGTGCTCATTGGTTACAGGGATGCAAACACAGGTATGGTGAAAAAAGAGAGAACTATTCGAAGCAGAAAAAAAACAGCGTAATATACCATCTGACAAAGGCCTGTGCTATAATGCTTCAATTAACTGTTCTTTATAATATACTGTTGGAGTAGATATCTCTGCTCCGCGCCGATCCTATATGAGTTTGCTTTAAAAGAAGGAAAACTCAAAACAACCAGGACGAGGGTTAAACAATAATCTGTTTTAATAATAAATGGTAATAATACAATACACTTCTCAAAGGGGTCAGGCCTCCCCCTGCTCTGGTCCTAATGCCGGGAGAACTTCTCATCTTGACGGCAGCAGGAAAAGAGACCGGACACAAGGCCGAACAGGCTTACATACAAGAATAAAACAGGAGGGGTTGGGTCAGCTGGTCATCTTTTCAGGTAATCTCATTGGGAGATGCAAAAGATGCTGTGTCACAGCGAATCAGCGCGTGCCAACAGAGAACCCGCAAACAGTCTCACTTTGAAGCAAAACAAACACATCTGGCATTCGCTGTCTCATATTTCTGCAGCCTCCACACACACAGCCCCCCACATTCCAGAGACCTCAGTTGTGTCTAAAGGATATTCCCTTGCTCACAAAGATATACTGCTTATTATTAATACAAAGTAATTAAACACACACATCTACTATTCAAGATATGTAGACTTCCCTGAAACATGACATGCTAGAGATCTTAAGCAGAATATACTCTC